GGGAGGCCAAGGCAGGCAGATTGCTCAAGGTCAGGAGTTCGAAACCAGCCTGAGCAAGAGCGAGACGCCATCTGTACTATAAATAGAAATAAATTAATTGGCCAACTAATATATATAGAAAAAATTAGCCGGGCATGGTGGTGCATGCCTGTAGTCCCAGCTACTTGGGAGGCTGAGGCAGTAGGATTGCTTGAACCCCAGGAGTTTGAGGTTGCAGTGAGCCAGGATGACGCCATGGCACTCACTCTAGCCTGGGCAACAAAGTGAGACTCTGTCTCAAAAAAAAAAAAAAAAAATTATATCAATAGCAATCCTATATGGGACGGTACTAATGAATGATAGGATGATTAATGAACTATTCATTTTTGGTATTGTCTTTCGCATGTGAAGATGATACTATAAAGAATGCTGAGTTTGACCAGTAGTATTATAGTTTCGCACTGTCCTTCACTCAGTACAGGATAATGATAAGAGTAAGACATGCTTAAATGATGAAGGCCAACACACAATTTTAAGTATATATCATACATACTTATATTTAAAGCTTAAGTATACATTTCTGTCTCCCAGAAAGTATTATCAATGAATCAGTGAATCCTGTCACATAAAACAAATGCCCAACCTTTGAGGAATACCTAGGAGAAATTAATATTTTGTGTTTTCTAAAACCATCACAATAAGCATAACCCGTGTCACTTAAGAAACGTTAGTAAATATATGTAATATCAGGAAGTGGTTACTACTTTTGTTATTTAAAAAAAATCCTAGCCAAGCATTACTTTTTGAAAATTAAAGATTTTCCCACCAGAAATGTTCTTAAAGTCCCAGGATACTTTAATGTGTTCTTTAAAAAAAACTCTAGTATTTAGAATAGTAGGGCAGTTATATTTTCCTCGGTAGTTGATTAAATAATATGCTTCTTTCTATATCTAGAGAAATCTCCAAATACTTTAAGACCCAGCATGATTAAAATAGGAAGCAGGCTTGGATGTATTTGGTTTTGTTTAGATGGTAGATTACAAGGAAGAATGGCAATTTGTAATAACAAATTTAGTTACTTGATAGTTTTTAGATGAAAGTGAAGGGTTTTTCTCTTAAGAGGTTTGAGAAGCTTTAGCGATTGTTATTAACTCTTTAAAAAGATTTATAGATTATTGAACATTTTGAGGGCTTAATACTATTTGGTTAATTATACCAGAAAGTAGAATGAAACATATTTTATGCCTGAAATTTGCTTGTTTGGGAAAAGGTAAAATTTCTTATGTGGGTGATTTAAAAAATTTGATTTAAAATATATAATAAAAAGATTGCTATGTTGGCCTGTTTAACATTGCTAGTTTATGGGCAGTGCAGTCTATCTCACAAAGAAAGCCAAATTATGCCAAATAATAAATATGGGTGATGTGTCCTCCTTGTAAGGGTACAGACTATCAAGCACAATTATAGCAAATATAGTAAAAATACAAGATTTACATCTTATTTATAGTTTTAGTAAAATAAAAGCCGATTTTTCTAGATTTTTCAGAAGCAAAAACCAGTAGGCCTGTAGGACAGTGATTTTGGCTTGCCTAGCACCAAGAAATGATAGGACTTGGGAAAAAAATCTAACATGATGTCTGTAGCATCGTTGTTAATGAGCCAAATGTAAAGAACTTAAAATGGGTATTTGGCAGTGAAAGTTGGAAATTCAGTAGCCTCTAAATAAATTACCAATGTGAGGCCTGATTTCCTATTTGCCTGACTCTTCAGGTCAGGTTGCTTGGGTTGAGATCCTCACTTTACCATTTACTACCTGTATGTTCTTGGACTAGTTTCTTTACTGTTTTTCTCTCTCATAGTTTATTCATCTAACAAATGGAAATAGGAAGTAGCACCACTGTAAGAATTGTGAGTTGATACGTATAAACACTAAGAATAAAAAAAAAAAAAAAAATTAAGAAAAAACTATCCAGGTGTGACATCTACCTATGGTGCCAGCTACTCAGGAGGCTGAGGCAGGAGGACTGCCTGAGCCTAAGAGTTCAAGGTTACAGTGTGCTATGGTTGTACCACTGCACTCCAGCCTGGGTGACAGAGCATCTAGACTCTGTATCTAAAATAAAATAAAAAAATAAAAAAGTTATATTTTCTTTTGAGGAACTAAATACAGTCTTTGCCTGTAGTTTAGGAACTGGCTTTTCCTCTGAGAAGAGCTGTTTATGATCAAAAGGAGAAATTGAATGTAAATCCTTTAGTTTATTAACTATTTTGTAGCATCTAAACACCTTCCCTGATTAAGAACACATCTGGTTTTCTTACATCTTGGGAAAATTACCCTGAAATAGAACCATAAATGAATTGATGCTTTTTAATGATCACATAATAGGTAATTGTTTTAAAGTTTTTCAGTGAGATTTTGAAGATTGAACAAGGGACAGTTGATATATTTTATAAAACCAGGTCTTCAGGGATCAATAATTTTAGAAAAATAGTGTATCCAAAAGCATAGTTATAGAAGACGATAGTAGGTTTTTCTGTGCTTGTGTCAACATTGCTCTTTTGCTCTTTGCACTGGGGAAACAATATAAATAATTGTTTGGTGTACTAGGAAATCTTGCATCGTGACTGAATTTGCTGTCATTTCATTATTTTCTAACTTGTTTCTTAGTGCAATCGACTATTAAAGTGGTGTCCTGCCCCAGATTGCCATCATGTTGTCAAAGTTCAATATCCTGATGCTAAACCTGTTCGCTGCAAATGTGGGCGCCAATTCTGGTAAGCAAATTTTGTTCTATACTGGAATAGCGCACATACCTTTTCTATTTCTTCTGTTTATTCTTGGTAATAAAACAGTAGAAAAAAATATTTATCTTAGGCAGGGGGATGAGTTTGATGTTAAAATAATGTATATTTCTTTTAAGTAAGAATTAGATGAAAAAGTCACATCTTAAATAATTTTTCTTTCCTTGATGTTCTAACTTTTAGATATATTTTTTATGGGGAAAAATTTAGCCATAATCACATCTTCTGTATGTCCCACTGTAACTTATATGAGAGCAGACATATAGATCTGTGACTGTAAGTTTCCTTTACTCTGTCAAGTTTTTTTTTTTTCTTTTTTTTTTTTTTATTCTGTTCTGTAGATCATACTCTGTCAAGTTTTAATCTTCTAGAAAGGAAATGTGTGTGCAGGTAAATTTGGTTGATTGATGTACTTTTTAACTAAGAGTTTTCCTGTGGGTCGGGTGCGGTGGCTCACACCTATAATCCTAGCACTCTGGGAGGCCGAGGCGGGTGGATTGC